GAACCCATGGCCTTGGTGTTTTCAGCACCGCACTCTACCGAGTGAGCCACGGGCCGGCCCAGAGAATGCTTTGTCTTGAATAGGGTTTAGTCAAATTTCAAATCAGAAACTAGTATTTTTAAATGGGTACATTTTATATAAAAATTTGGATTCCTAACTTCTCCGGAAAAAAAAAATCTGTTAACACTGTGCTCACATTTCCACATGGCAAAAAACATCTGGACACACTTGTTGGCACTTCATGTTGTGTCCCCAGCTCTGAACCTCCACACCAAGGGGCAGTGCAGTGTTGTACCTGGGCTGTGGACTCTGGAGCCTGACCGCCTGTGTTTGAATCCCAGCTCTGCCACTTACTAGCTGTACATCCTTGGGCAAGTTACTTAAATGCCTTTAAGCCTCAGTATCCTCATCTGTAAAACTAGGATTGATTTATTTCACAAATTCTTATTTGAGCATCTATTATGTGCCAGGCACTGCTCCAGGGACTGGAATGAGTCTGTGAACAAAGCAAGTAAAAATCCTTGCTTTTGCGGACCTCATACGTGGCAGGGGTATACAGGTAATAATTCTATAACAAATAGGTAAATGATACAGTATATTAATAGGTGATAAATGCTATGGGAAAGCAAAAACCAAAATCCAATGTGCACAGGGAATGGGGAGATGGGGCATGGTCATTTTTTAATTTTAAAGAGGCTGCTCAGGGAAGGCCTCACTGAGAAGGCGACAACCCAGCACAGACTTGAAGGAGGGGAGGGAACTGACCACATGGTTAACTGGGGAGGAGCACCCCAGCAGAGGGGGCAGCTGGACAAAGGCCCAGAGGCAGGAGCCTGGCTTGATGTTGGAGGAACGACAAGGATGCTGGTCTGGCTGGAGAGGAGCCAGGAACTGGAGAATGGGAGGTGTCAAGGTTGCAGAGGAAGGCAGAGGGTGGGGGTCAGCCGATCGTGTAGGGCCTTGTAGACCATGGAAGGGTTTCAGGTTTTACTCTGAGGTAGGTGGGAGCCATGGGAGGGTTCTGAGCAGAGGAGTAATATAACCTAATTTATGTTCCAATGGGATCTTTCCGGCTGTTCTGTAGAGATTAGGCTTGGGAGGGGGCAGTGTACAAAAGGTGGAAGCGGGAGACCAGGGAGAAGCTGGGGCAATAATGCAGATGGGAGGTGATAATGGCTCGGGCCACGGAGCTAGCTCTGGGGATGGCGAGAAGTGGTTGGGTACAAGCTGTATGTCCAAGGTTGAGTTGACAGGACTTGCTGATGGATCAGATTCAGGGTGTGAGGAAAGAGAGGAATCAAGGACAACTCCAAGGTCTTGGCTGGAGCAACCAGAAAGATGGAGCTGCCACTCTCTAAGATGCGGACAGCAGAGTGGGGCCAGGTTTGGTGGGGGAAGGCGAAATAAGGAGAACAGTTTGGGGTAGCTGATTTGAAGTCCAGCATCCAGGCGAATGCAGTCGGGAATGCAAGCCTGGAGTTTAGGGCTGCGGTGGGGAATAACAGTCCCCACCTCATAAATGGTTGTCAGGGTTAAATAAACTCATGACTGTAAGGCACGGAGAACAGGGCTTGGCCCCGTGAGTGCTGAGAGGTCAGTTGTTCTTAGCCCTGGGGAAGATCCCACCGTTGGTTCCAGCTCGCTCCCCACATGCCCACTCTCACATTTCTCTTGGGGATGGGAGCAGTAGGTTCTCAAGACAGCTGAGAATGTTTCCTTCCTTACTTTCTTTCTTTCTTTCTTTCTTTCTTTTTTTTTTTTTTTTGGTGGCTGGCCCTATAGGATCAAACTCTGGACCTTGGTGTTACCAGCACCACGCCCTATCCAACTGAGTATCCAGCCAGCCTAGGCAAGTGACTTCGCCTCTCCGACCACTATTTTATTGTATCTATATCTAATGAAGATAATAATCCCTTTATCAAAGCATTATCCTGAGAAGCAAATGAAAAATAACGGATTTAAGTGCCCGGCACACAGGAGGTGCGTATAACAGTCTGTTTCTTTCTTCCCTCCCAGCGCCCCAGTGGTCAGGAAGAAAGGAAGCAAAGTCAGTGTCCCTCTCAGCTGTTTATTGAAAGGAGAGGTGGAATGAAAGGGATGCAGGGCGGGGAGGGGGCGCTGGGCACAAGGGCGGCAGGGTCTGGCCTGGTGGGGCAGGACTGAGGACCCTCCCCAGGGGTCCTCCAGGCCGGCGGAGACTGAAGGGGGAGGGGAAGGGCGGGAGCCTTCGGCTCTTCTCTCCAGCTGTCTTTGCGCTCCCCCTAGTGGTACAGATGGGAGATGACGCCTTTGGCTGGGGAGCCGGCAGGAGGGAGGGGCTGCTGCCTCCAGGAGGGCACATGTGTTACCAGGGTCAGAATCAGAGCCTGTGGGCGTTGGTTTCTAGGTGGGAGGGCTTTAAGGGGCAAAGACATTCCACTTCTCTGGTCCCCTGGCTCTCAGAGGCTACTTAAATCCATGTCCAAAGTATCTTTGGGGCCACCTGGGAACCATCAGGCCTCCAGCTAGTCTCTCTGTGCCAAACCTGCCCCCACCCTTGGGGATCTCCTAGGGACCAGGAAGGTGTGAGGCCTTGCTCCGGCTGTAGAACAAGAGCTGGCCGAGGAGGAGCCTGAAGATGTGGTTCTAGACCCTGCAGACCACCTTGCTGTGTGAACTTGGACATATCACCTCTCAGCCTCCCACCACCACCTCATCTGTAGACTCGGTTTAGTAATTGCCGGTGATGAGGTGGACTGTGGGGCTCTGCTCTCAGACTGCAGGTGAAAAACACACTGTGAGAGGTAAATGTCTTCACACCATCCTGGAGGGGAAGTCCAAGTGAGTGTCCTGGACCCATTCTGAGGTGTCCTGGTGGAGGAAAACGACCCCTCTAGCCTTCCCCTTTTTTTGTCTATGGAGGGTAGTGCTTATATCATGAGGGGAATAGGAAAGTCACAGAATTCTAGAATCTTGTCCAAACCCTTCATAGTAAAGAGGCAGGAACTGATGGTCTGAAAGGATAAGGGGCTTGCCCAGAGAGGAAAGAGTGGGGACAATTGAGGGAGATGTTTTCTTGTCCCTGAAGGGTCTTGGGAAGGAGAGGTGGGTGGGAAGTGTGGGGAGGACTTGATAAGGCTGGCATCTTGGATGATTTGAGGTCCTACCCCTGGGGAAGGGGCACAGGGACTTGAGCTCCAGACTTTACCTGGAGTTGAGCCTTCTGGGGGTTTGGATGGAAGGGGCCCTGCTGAAAGGGAGACATTGGTGTGACAATGGAGGGGTGTGGTGGGGAAGAGAAAGGGTCCAGACCCCAGGTCTGGCTCCTTCTCTGGCCATGTGCTTGGATGGAAGGGGCCCTGCTGAAAGGGAGACATTGGTGTGACAATGGGGGGGTGTGGTGGGGAAGAGAAAGGGTCCAGACCCCAGGTCTGGCTCCTTCTCTGGCCATGTGGGTAGCTCAAGAGTCCCGCTGGGGCTGGATGGTCTGCACAAAGGATTGCCCAAAGGGGCTGGCAGGTGGCGAGAACCATGACTGGCCACTGGCATCACAGAAGATGGGGGACAGCTGCTGTTCTGGCTCATCCCCAAAGACCTCCATGTGGTCATCAGCTTCAGTGGCCAAGGGCTCTGCCTTGATGTCCTGGCTTGCCCAGCCCGTCATGGCCCAGAATAGGCAGATGGCCAGCAGAACCCCAGCCGCCGCACAGAGCGCAGTGCCTGCCAGGCGGCAGGTGCCCAGGGCTTGGTTGTAGTCGGCCGCCCGCTGATCCAGCACCAGGAACTCACCCTCGCCAATGCCTTCCAGCTTGGGGGGCACCGCATAGCCAGTGGTCAGGGCTGCCACGCCCAGCAGCAGAAGCAGGGTCCCCGAGGACAGGCTGATCTGGGGAGAGGCAGACAGACCAAGAGGCAGTCAGGGTCAGTGAGGAGCCACAAGCTAAGGGATCACCTGGTGTAGTGAATTGAATTATGTCCCCCCAAAACTCCCTGAAGCTTGAATTGTGTCCCTCAAGTTTTATGTATTAGAAACTTAGCCCCCACTGTGACTGTTAAGAGGGTGGGAGATCCTATTTTGGTAATTGAAAGGTGGAGCTGTGAAGAGGTAATTGGATTATAGGACCGTGCAGTAGTGACTGGATTAAAAATGGTTGTCAGGGGCATGGTTCTGAGGGCTTTAAAAGAAGAGAAGAGTCTGTCTGTCTCTCTCTCTGCTTCCAGCATCTTGCAATGTGAGACCCTTGGGTCACTGTCACCACCACCAGATGGACTTTGGGCTTCCCAGCCTTAGAAACTATAAGCAAAAAATTTCTTTTTCTTTATAAATTACCCAGTTCCAGGTATTCTGTTAGAGCAACACAAAATGGACTAATACACCTGGAATCCTAAATGGCCTCAAAGGTAATCCCTTAATCCAACCCTAAGAGATGGGAATCACAGAACACACCTGCTGGGATCTAACTGACAGCAGGCACAAACTGTCATGTTGTATTTGGAATCTTGAGGCCCCCTGATTAATTTCCTTCCCAGCTCCCACCTAGCAATGGATTTCTTCAGCCAAACTTGGGTCCCCTCCCTCATTATTTGGATCCTATCATATTCGCTTGTCCTTTCTACCCTCTACCTCTCTGTCGGGATAACTCCTACGTATCCTCAGATCTCATCTCAAACCTCACCTCCTTCAGGAAATCTTCTAGGATGCCCCCGGACAGGGTCGGGTCCCCTGCTCTGCACTCTGCACAGACTCTGTGCTCATTTGTCCTTTAGCGTGCTCACTTTGGTGCACATTTGGACATGTATTTCAGTTATTATGTAAGTGATGTCTGCCTGTGCCACCAGACTGAGAGCCCCATGAGAGCAGAGACTGCCTGTTTTGGCTCACGAGGTGTCTTCTGTGCCTAGCACAAGACAGCTAGTGTCAGAGCAGAGGCTGAAGAGCTAGGAGTTCCTCGAGGACAGGAACCATATTGTCTTAAATTCTACGTCTCTGAAAGCCTAGCACAGTGCCTGGCAATAAGATGCTTTTAAAAAATTAAATATGGGGCCGGCCCGGTGGCGCACTGCTACAGTGTGCTGCTTGGGAGCGCAGTGGCGCTCCCGCCGAGGGTTCGGATCCCACATACAGACCGGTTCCCGCTCACTGGCTGAGTGGGGTGCGGGTGTGACACCGAGGGTTGCGATCCCGTTGCCGGTCCTGGTCTGGTACGTGCGTGACACTGAGGGTTGCGATCCGTTGCCAGACACGAAAAAAGACGGAAAAAAAAAATTAAATATGTACTCACCTTCTAGATATCTTCCCTGATCACCCCAGGCACTGAGACCATTTCCTCTCCTGGAATCCTCTGCACACCTGACCTGAGGTTGTGCAGGTTGGTGCCTCTGCACAGGTTGGTGCCTTGCCTCCCCACTAGACTGAAGTCCTTTGAAAGCAAAAGGAGTGACCCTCTGCCTCAATCTCCCTCCAGTATTTAGCAAAGAGCTCTGCTCATCACAGGGACTGGGCTCATTGCCACCTCCACATCTTTACCCATATGGAGTACCCTGGCTGACCCCTCTCCCTGGCTATTATAGATGTCAACTGTGCTTCTCTCACATCTTTCCACTGCCTTGGCAACTGACCCCAATATTTCATTGGGAAACCAAGTAAGATTGAAGTGAGATGAACCCCACTTCCTGCCAGTCAGTGTATTCCATCTCCCTGGCCATAGTAATTAGTTTAGTGCTGGCTAGTGACCCAGTCAGAGCAAATGTGACATGTGCCAGGGCTTCTGGGGATAAAAAGTATTGTTCCTTGTCAATGGCAATGGTTTTTTTTTTTTTTGTCCTTTTTTCTTTCGTGTCCGGCAACGTATCGCAACCCTCGGTGTTGCGCCCGCACCTCGCTCAGCCAGTGAGCGGGAACCGGTCTGTATGTGGGATCCGAACCCTCGGCGGGAGCGCCGCTGTGCTCTCAAGTGGCGCACTGTAGCAGTGCGCCACCAGGCCGGCCCCCTGGTTTTTAATTTCTAGCTATCCTGGATCTTTTGTCTCTCCATGTAA